CCCCCCCCCCGCCGGTCCTGGCTCGGCGATCAGCCACTGGGGGGCCCCGGGTGTCCCCCCCCCCAGGCCCAGGAGGTACCAGTTGGCCAGCCGGGGGGCAGGGGTCCCCTGCGCACTCCATGGTGGACCCGGGGCCTGGGGGAAATGCTTCTGGTCCACTTCCAGGTCCTCCACCAAGCGCACTGGGGACCCCCCACCTATGCTCCCATGGGATGCTCCATCTGTCCCACTATCGCAGTGTTCATGAGCTGCCTGGTACCTTGAGGTATGTAGAAAAAACATTTAAAGCTGTGTGTGTCTGAATTATCGAATCTCTCCGAATTGATTCGGAGGGTTCCGATTCGATTCCTAATTCAATTCGGATTCGGAGATTCGGCCACTGAATCAGGCCAAATCTCTACCAGATCGAATCAGTGACCAAAATGTCACACAGCCCTAATGAGTACAGAACATAAGCATCAGCCAAGATTTGACTATTACTTCGAATGTTAGTCTACATTACCTTTTCCCTATACAATTTTTAAAACAATCATCTGCATACTACATACAGCTTCTCTTTCCTCAGAGGTTGTATTCTGTACAGACTTACATGTCTACTCATATTGTAATATTAATAGAAGGCAGAGTAGGAGAGCACCTTAAAGACTACCTTGTTCAGAAACGCTTAATATTGATGAAAATCTTTTAAAACACTGTAGTCCATCTGACTAATAATGTGCCAAAACCATAAACATTTTTATTAAAAACAAGTAAAGAACTGCTTACCTGACAAGCTGCTGACAAATCTGACATCCTGGAACACATCTAAGAAAAAAACCCAAACTTGTATTTTAAATTTTTAAACATTTATAGTGCCTACAGAAGATAACTTAAAAAAAATATATTATCAATATAGAAAATGTGTGACTAGCTTTCCATCAAACACATTTATTTTCAATTTTTCTTACTGTGCAGTTTCTTAAGATTAACATATTTATGGTATAGAAAAAATAAAGATTATACTTTTGTACTTTGTGGCTTAACATATAGGCAACTTTCAATAAAATAAAACTTAAATTAAAAATAATTTGCACGTATGCCCACTAAAAAGTACAATGTATAATACTGAACACTGAAAAGAGTGTGATAGTAAAGTGAAGTATACAAGCAAGCTATAAGTTTTTGTTTTGCCATCTTTGGAGGCTACATTCAAACAAATTTTTCTGAATATTTTATTTTCAACGTAAGTAGCTGTAAAGGTAGTGGTTTTTTTTTAATGACATATACAACAGGCTAAACAAAATAACTTCAACAAAACAGCCAAAACATGGTTTCCTTACATTTTACTCCCTTATGCATATTTCAGGAACTACAGTAAAATATTTTTTAAAAGTCCAAAGGAGAATTAATCAATTGGCCAAACGTGGAAATTCACTTATATAATAAACTTTGAGACAAGTGCTGAACGATCATTTTGTTCCTTCTGAAATGCTCTGGAAATTTTAACAACTTCCTAATTACACTGCTTACATTTGCAAACTTTCCATGTGCCTCAATCCTATCATGGTAATAAATTCTAAAAGCTTCCCAGGGTCCTATGGTTCCAAGGAATGTGATGAATAATTTGCAATGCATTTCACAGACTGAAGTATTTAGTCAGTCAGTTTCCTTTATTCGACTTGAATATTCCAGGAAATAAAATTCATGATGCTGGGGATCCTGTACAGCATATTATTATAGACTGTCACTAGTATTAGAAATAACAGATATTTTACATTTACTTTTTGGAAGAAATTGCCATATAACATGATGTAACAAAAGATTTAATCTATTCACTGTTCAGAATGTAATGGCCATGTAAGTCAGCAAGATGCTAGAAACAAAGTTCACAATGAGTTAAGCTCTTTTAAGAACCCATCTGTCTTTATGGCATTCCACACCTGCAAGTCTCACAAAAGATGTTCCAGATGTGACACAACCTTTTCAGCTGAAAGTTTTTTAGTTTCACATATCTTGTTTAGATATTATTAGAGATCAAGTTAAAAAGCATTGATGTTATTGTTTTATATGCCCCAAATCATACCTTTTCACATCCAAATGTTTTCTTGAATATGATTGGGCTTTAAAAATATTTTCATCATAATTAATTCCCATAACACCTCTAGACATTTCATTACCATTTCTGACTTTTCCTTTCATCTTCTCACTTTTGATATTTTTCTCCTAGAGGGTTTGAATGAGGGAAGGATGATATACTTCATGCTACTTTGTGATATCCGAATTGTCTGTTCTGGAAGCAAGCTTTTCTCAGTCTTGGATTCTGTTCAGTTCTTTTTACACTCCTCTCTTCCTTGTTATGTGTTCTCTTTTTTCTACACATAGCTTTCCTTATCACTTGGAGCAACACTGTCAGGTTATTTCTCCCCATCTCCAAGATGCCACATCTTCAGCATGAAAATGCATTCCCTGCAGGCTCTCACACACTATTCTTCTATCAGTCCCTTAAAGTACACTTTTGTAGTGCTTTCTGATTCTTTAGAGGTGTGCAACAAGACATAGCATAGACCATTTCTGCCTGCTACCAGCACCAACAAAGATAAGAAGGTAACATGATCAAATTAGGAAATGTCAGAGGACTTTCACTGAAGTCTGAAAGGTCTCATAAAACTTTAAGCATCAAAACTGAGAAAAATCAGGATTTCCCTTTTACAGATTAAAAGACAATGACATTCATGTTTCAAGAATAGTTAGTTCAATTACCTTCCGTATCAGTAGTTAAATCATATGTGATGAAGTCTTTTATAAATTCTAGTTTACCTGTGGGGGTCCTTTGAAGTTGGTATAATATACACACATTCCCTCTTGGTAAAAGTATTTTCTATCCAGGATTTCTGGGACTGTAAAATAAAGTTATACAAAACACCATCAATTCTATCTTTTAGAGTTACAACAACACAAATGCCAAAAGCAGGTATTAAACTAGGGGTAGACAATTATTTTGGCTGGAGGGCCACTTAATGAGTTTTGGTGACTTGTTCATCTCTCTCTCTGCCTCTGTCTCTCCCCGTCCCTCCAGAACCTGGCTGGAGCTGTAGTTCACCAGGAGCCCTGATGCTCAGCTGTGGACCCAGATGGGGACTTCCGCCATGACAGGTGGGTGGTGGTGTCAGCCTTGGGTGCCGCTGGCAGGTTCCAAGTCTGGGTTTCAGAACCTGCTTGCTACACCCCCAGCTGACACCACCGTTTGCCTGCCACAGTGGAAGTCTCCATCTGGGTCCACAGCTGATGCTGCTGCATCAAGAGCAGAAGCAGTCCCACCCACCCGACCAGTGCAGCAAAAACAGCCCTGACCATCTGCCCAGCAATACACAGCAGCCGGAACCCACTGCCAGATGCAATAAGGTGGCAGCTGCCTGTCTGCCAGCCAGATCAAATCTGTTTGTGGGCCGAATCCAGGCCACAGACCATATTTTGCCCTTCCCTGCATTAAACCAAAGGTGTCACATTTATATAGTCATGGATCAATGTGCATTTTTTCAGACGCTGATAAAGAAAAATGAAGGCTAAGATTTTCAAAAATCAAGTACTGACAATCTCAGTGCTTTGATTTTCACTAAATACTTTCTCTCTGAAAATAAGATCCCTTCTGTGTCTGCTTGGGTACCTAGGTAAGCAGAATCACAAGTCACTTATGAAAATCTAGATATTTTTATTAAGTACATTCTCAAAATTAGAGTTCAGCATGGAACAGTTACTTATTAAGGAGAAACATGATGCAGAGAGAAATACCACCAACTAAAACTGACCAAGTCATTTGTTTGCTGCTGTCAGTATTGAAAGTCACTAAAAGTTGAAAGATTCTGAACTGCAGTGCAATTTAAGTTAAATGAAATCATGCTTTCATTTTTCAGTAGAAGTAAGTGAGATTACAAAGTATGGAATGTTTTTAAGGGTATTCCAAATAGCAAAAATAGTAGGTACTTAATGCTTACATATTAAACATTTCACCTGACAAAAAACATGCACACCTCCACACCCGACACGTAAATAAAGATACATGGACATGTGAGCAAATAGCTAAATGTTATATTCTGAATTAATTCACTAGGAAAATAAGTGAGCAAAGGTTTAACAAAACAGTTTTGGGTATTTTCAGTCTCCATGTTTCATCAATATGATAATAAATTATTCTGAAACAAGTGTAAACTTCAGTCTGTTTCATTATAAACCTACCACTCATTTCTAGTTACAATAAAGTAGCTTAACTGTTGTTCTTTGTCAAAAGGTACATCCTACACTTTTTCACTTGATAAACAATTTAATTAGCATCATCAACAGAGATTGAGGTGAGCTCAAAAGGTGTCTATAAACTTAAAATTAAACTGTTTACTTCCTTAAATGCTCACTGGTTTTGATACTGTCATGATTCTATTTAAGTTGCTTTAAACAATGATGTAACATACTTTACAGATAAAAACATTGCTTTGCCAGACAAACTGCATCATGCCCATTGAATGCTGTTTCAGCTACTTGTTGGGAACGAGATTCAACTTACCAGCACGTCACCAAGTACTTCAGAAACAAAGCTACAATCTGTTTCTTTTATATATATTTCTAGTAAGAGTAGAGAAATGCAGAAGCCTCAGTTAAGTCAGACCATCCTTCAGTTATTGAAATTCTAATACCAAGGAAACTACATATAGCAAATAAATAGAACTGTTAGTTAACTCCTCCTCCTTGACCACCAAGCTACCTTCCCCCTTTTTAAAAATTTCCACCAAAGATGGATCTTTCTACATTATTCTTCACAAAAGCACCCTACACCATGTTTTTTTAGCCGATTTGATTGTGAGCTTGTTGACATAGGAACTACATACTGTATTTATTCACATACCACAGCGGTTTTCAACCTTTTTTAATAAGTGTACTCCCAATGGCTGGAAACAGAGTGGGGAGGGGTGGCAGGGGATGTGCAGCCAGATGCAGAGCAGTGGCAGCACGGGGTGGTGGATGGTGGCCGCCACCACCGCCATGTGCAACATTCCCCTCCCCCCACTTCCGTGTCCAACAGGCCAGGCAGCACCTGTGCAGCCCACAGATGGGCACCACTGCCCTTGCCCCACCCCAGCCCTGTTCCTAGGGAGGTAGCAGCGCAGGGTGGTAGTACTCCATCCTCGACTGCCCACAAGTACCCCCTAGGGCTTTCTCAAGTATCCCCAGGGGTACACATACCCCCGGTTGACAACCCCTAACAAACCACATGCACCCTTTCCCAAAAGCCAGCCCTCCAAAATTTTGGGTGCAAGTCTTAAGCAGAGAGGTAGTTTTCTTTGCTAGAGCAGAATAGAAGCAGAGATGTGGTGCTGCAATAGCTGCCACTTCTCTCTGAACCAGAAAGCAACAGGGTCAAAGTCCACTGTTAACTGTCTCTCAGTCACTGCTGAATTGACAGTAGCTTTTAACTGAGCAGCGAAAAGCTGCTGCCAATTCAGCTGTGGCTGTGAAAGGGTTAATATGGTAGCTTTTTCCTGCAGAGCCAGTGAACTGGCTGTGAGCCAGCAAGCAGCCACATGCAGTTCACTCTGGGCCATGAGAAAAATCTTTTTTTTCTACATTCTGCTTTCCAAAAACAGGGCGAATGTCTTATCTCGGGGCATGTGGAAAACATGGTCCTCTTAGCTGCTGTCCTCGCTGCTGGACATTTCTCCTTCTTCCCCACCTCCAAACACAAATGAGAATACAATATTCTTAAAGCATCCTGTTTGAAATCTGATAGGATCAGAGCCACTACACTGGACAAGCCTAGTTAGTAACCAAATACTCTAAGAAATACATTATCTGGATACAGAATCTGTCAGGCCAATCCACAGGCTCCTCCAGGCTACCACCCTGTCCCCACCCCTTCCTTTCTAAAGCAGCTCTGATAACCGAGAGGGTCAAGGAAGAATGTACTACTTTCAGGATAGATGAGTAAAGGTGTCCATGAAAAGGGGAGGTAGGATGGAAGAGATTAGACCAAAGGAAAATCTGAGGCGATATCACAGAAATGGGGGGGTAGGGACAGAAAAATGGAACTGAGTTAGCAAAAAGTCAGACAGGGTAAAAACCCAAGTAGAAAAAGTGGGCAGAACTGAAATTGAAAAAGTATTAAAAAACAAAGGAAAAAAGAACTAAGACAGACCGACAGAGAGACAAAGAAAGTCTGGGGTTGTTGTTTTCATTGGTTTTGGGGGGGCAGGTTATATTTGGGTTGGCTATATTTTTTAATGGTCCAACAGATTTGGTAAAGATGTTAGGCAAGCTTTTGAGCACTTTGGACCAGTTTGTCCAGTGTCTCTCCTAATTATATACTTGGGCCAATAAAATAATTTTTTTTTTTCAAAAAGCTATCACCAAAAAAACGCTTGTTTCTGACACATTTATTGAACCATCAGTGTTACATCAACACACCAACTCTAAGACACAAAAGAAAAAATATAGGAGCTAAACAAAAAAATTACATGAGAACAGAAGAAAAAAGCCTGCCAAATACTTTCAGCACCTGGGTTGTCCTTCACTTCCTCAGCCTCCCAACAGATGACTATGGCAAGAGAGAATAGGTAAAAAGTAGGGAAGCACCAACAGAGATTCTGGGGGGCAATACCGATAGTCGATTTTTATGGAGGCGTATTGGCCGATACTAATCCGATTTCCAATACACAGCCTAGCTAGCTTGAGGAGCAGTGTCTGGCTAGTAAGTCTGTTGTGGTGGAAGGGGAGGGAGAAGGGAAGGGAAGGGAAGGAGAGGAGGAGATCAAGGCCCCTGCAGTGAGGGAGGAAGGCTGGGGTTGGGGCAGGCACTGCCCAGCCATGGCAGGTGGTCATGGGATGAAGCCATGGCTTGTCCAGGGAGCATTTCCTGCTGCTGCACACACCCTTGCAAGGCATGGGGAGGGAGCGGGGGGAGGGATCTGTGTGAGGCAGGGCAGGCATGAGCCATGGCTGTGTCAGGCTCTTCCCAGCAAGGACTAGGCCAAGCTGTCCTCAGGGCAGGCAGCGGCAGTGCTGGGAGGGGGGCTATAGGGAGGGGCTGCAGCCACCCCAAAATTTTCTATAGCCCCCCCCAAATCCCCCTCCTAGCACCGCTGCTGCCTGCCCTGAGCACAAGCCAGCCAACCCCTGGCCCCAGCCGCAGATGCAGCCTGCCCCGCCCTGCGCAAATCTGGGGGGTTACACCCCCCCATGCCCTCCCAGGGTACATGCAGCAGCAGAAGCCACACCCTTCTCCCTGTGCCCCAACCTACCCCAGCTGAGCAGCACCTGCCCCTGTCCTACTCCCTCCCTCACCACAGAGGCCCTGATCTGCACCCCACATGCCCCTTTCCCTCCCCTCTCCTCTTCCACCACAACAGGTTTACCAGCTGGATGCAGCTCTCCAAGCTGCCGGGCTGTGCTCCTCACTGCCTACATGCTGCGCTGCAGCTGCACGTGTTTAATCGGCCACATCATGCAAAAAAGCCAATTTCCGATAGTCAAATTTCTTTATATTGGTGCTGACCTAATATTGGACCGATGTATTGGTGCACCTCTAGTAAAAAGCCAACCAAGAGGGGTCAGACATCATAAATCAGAGGGGTAGGAGATAAAGTGATGAAACTGCTGGCCCAGGACAAGAAAAGGGCAATGGTGAGCAGATGCTGCCTCATGATAAGGAATAAGGAGATATTTTCTTTGTTGTCAATTCAACTTGTCAAACTTAATTGACAAGAATAATCGGTGGCTCCTTCTGGTTCTTGGGATAAGGGATCAGAAACACAGCAACTTCCCATATGGAAATTTACTGGAACAAACATTCTCTTGATGCTGCTCTGCCGATTCAGACTAAAAAAACAATCCTCATGCTTTACCTTCAACCCAA